TGGATATTAGGAAAACCTTCTTCATGGAATGGGTTGTCAAGCAATGGAACAGGCTGCCCGGGGAAGTGGTAGAGTCACCATCCAGACCCAAAGGCATTAAACATAGAATCATAGAATGGTTAGGGTTGGAAGGGACCTTAAAGACCATCCAGTTCCAACCCTGCTGCCATGGGCAGGGACACCTTCCACTACACCAGGTTGCTCCAAGCCTCATCCAGCCTGGCTTTGGACACTTCCAGGGATGGGGCATCCACAGCTTCTCTGGGCAACCTGTCCCAGTGCCTCCCCACCCTCTCCGGGAAGAACTTCTTCCTGATATCTAATCTAAACCTCCCCACTTTCAATTTAAACCCGTTACCCCTTGTCCTGTCACTACAGGCCCTTGTAAAAAGTCCCCCCCCAGCTTCCTTGTAGCCCCTTCAGGCACTGGAAGGTGCTATAAGGTCTCCCCGGAGCCTTCTCTTCTCCAGGCTGAACAAGCCCGACTCTCTCAGCCTGTCCCCATAGGAGAGGTATGTTTGTACAGTGCACTTGTTCAGGGTTTGTGTATTAAGCGTGTCAGCTTTTCCCTCTGCCTCTTTTTATTTGCGTGTGGGACTCTTAGGATGTTGCTGGTTAGTTTTAAAAGGTTTATGTAAACAGGAAACCTCCCCTTTCAGTAAGCATGTAATATCCTCGCAGGCAGTCTAGTGTCTCAGGTCACTGGAGACAGACCAACAGATAGCTCAAATGGATGCAATCCGGTTGCAAGTATCAGTTTTTACAACCACAAAGCACTGGATTAAGCATCTTAAAACTCTGAATTTAGCTTTTCCTTACCTTAAAAAAAAAAAAGGGGAGGGTGGGAAGAAGTAACTGCCAAGTTACTCTGGTTTTAGCGGTATTTCTTGTTTACTTCTGTTAAAAAAGGAGTTTATTTGTTAAGTGCATAAAGAAACTAACGTTTCTGTTGTTAAAGGGAGAGACACCACTTGACCTTGCTTATCAAAGTCTGAATCGCTTCATGGTTTATATGGTAAAAGAGGAAGAAAGAATGAGAAGCAGAAGAAATAACAGGTTACTGAAAATAATAGAGAAATACGAGGTAATTTCATGAGTAATAAGTAATGGCAATAAAGCCAGTGGAAACACTGCATTCTGTGTTCAGAATAACACGCAGCTTTTTTCTCACAAGGGGATCTTCTAAGGTTTCTGCAACTGGGGGCACAAAAATAAAATTCTTTAAAAGCACGTAGCAGTGGTTTGGGTGGGGGTTTTTGTGTCGTCCCATCCACCCCCCTCACCCCCTCTTTGAGGTATTGATGTGTGTCACCTTGTCTTATCCGCCCTGAGCCTTTGTTATTACATTCACTGACTACTTATGAAGTAAGTACTGCTTGAATACTTTCTTATTTATTAACAATCATCATTTTAATAGCTCCTCCTGCTGTTGGCATCTTCTTTGGCATTGATGTGGGCCATAGGATACGTAATGAACTTAAGTTCTGATTCTTGGCTTTTGAAAGGAGGTCTGCTTCTCTTCCTGCTATTTGGGATGGCTCTGTTTGTGAGGTTTGTGGCTTTTTCTCTCTAAATGTGCATTTAATTGTTGTAGACACCATATCTAATGCAGTATTCTCTTTAGAGTTTAGTGTCACTTAGCATAAAAGATACACACTCCGCAACCAGTTCTCAGGAGGTGAATGGTTTAAATATATCCACTTTCTAGAATGACCATAGGAATTGAATGGTTTTAGGTGCGCAAAATAATAGTTCCTCATCACTGAAAGATTTGAAAAAAAACGCTGTTTAAGCAGCTTGTTAGCTAATTTTGATGATAAAGTGTTACCAGATGCAGACCTTCAATAGAGACTGAGATATTCGTTCACAGCGCTCAGATAATGTGCTTTATCTCAAATTCTCCTTCTGCATTTGTGACACAGGATGACTTTTAATGAACCATTCCTCCCCCTCCAGACCTCCCAGTGATTTTGTAAGCTGTTCTGCAGGTTTTGTGCCTTCTTCAGCAGTTCTCCAACAGTTGGTGTCTGTTGAAATGGCAGTGCTGCCGGTGTGCAGATAGACAGGTCGCACTTCTCCCCCAGTGCTGCAGCACTTCTGATATGTCATACTGGACCAGAACAGAGCACTCGTCGCTCTTATTTTTGCATTGACACATCCGGCTCTAGCATGCTTTTGACGGACAATTCTTGATTGCTTGGGGAGACTTGAAGTGTATACTCTGGGTGTGAAGTTTTTAAAAAAACAGATGCTCTGTATTCTGTGGAGTTATGTTTACATACTTTTTTTTTTAAATAATTTTTTCTTTTACTATTTTTTTCAGGCAGTTTGTGGGGCTCAAGAATCTAAGGTATCTTCCCACAGCGCTTCTGCTAAGTTCAGTTTTTTGGATGTCCGTGACCTGTTTTTTCTGGTTGCTGCTTGATATCCTTTATACCCAAGAAATGCAATGGAACGCTCCTTACAGTTCCTAATACGTCTAAGCCTGGTCGTGCAAATAGTAAGGAGCAGTCTGAGGTGATTCCATGTCTGGTAAGACAGGTTCACTTCCATTGGGCAGGAGTGAAATAACTTTGAGATTGAAGTTATATGCAGACTAAAAATATGTACTTTCTTTTACCTTCAGCATATGTTTGTGTACAATGCTGAACTATTTCTTATGTTACTGGAATATCAAACTGAAAACATCTTTGTTATAAACCTAATTGTCTGTTACCATCTCCATGTGGCTCTAATCTTCCTCACTGAGACTCTCCTTCAGTAATGTATTTTGTCACGTAGTATAGCCAGATAACCCAAGCACTGACAATAATTTGCAAAGCATCTCTTCCTTCTGTAATGACAAGGATTTGACAGCTGGTGGTATTTGTGCTTCTGCTTTTAAAAACCAAAACCACCTTCCCCACCCCCCAAAAAACATGTCCCTCCAAGATAGACCTCCAATCTCCTCTCTCTTTCTTCACAGGTTGCACTGTATCCTCAGTGTAGAGAGCATTAATGTCAACGTTTCATTTGCTTTCTTTGGAGAGGTTTTGCACTGATGAGTACAAAAATGTTTTAGCAACTCGAATTCGCTTTTAAGTGCCCTGCTCTTTTGATACCCAGGGGGCATCTATTAATTTATTGATTAAGTTTTATGAAAAGGCCTTTAGGGAGATACTTGGAACTGTAAATAATTTTCTACTAAACCAGCTATAATATAATGCTACACAATTTTAATTAATTTTTAATTACTTCATCCTTTAAGTGGCATTTTCTTTTGTACTGTTCCCAATTAAGATGTCCCTAATAGAATTATCAGGATTAACTTCGATGAACTGATCAAGTATATTCCCGCTGGGGATGCATGTGCCTGTCTACATGGAAATCATGTTATTCCGTGTTGCATTGTGGAGTTTTCAGGTTTTCGTGGTGTCATCTAAATTAAAAGGAAAAAAATTGCAATGGTAGGGGTTTGAGTCAGACACTTTGCTGAAGATGGTGAACTTAGTGATATTCTTGAAGGTTTAACCGTTGGTGAGATGAGCAAGTGGATAGTTTTCCATTTCACTTCCCAGCCCTTTTCCTCATGAATGTCTTTTCCTCCTGGAACTGGGCAGAGATCTGAGTGTTATAAAAGTGTTCAGTATTTTAGTTACCTGTATTTCATCTGGATGAAAATCCAGACATTCTAAGTAAGGACTTCTCTCAGCTCCAAAAAGAACAGCAGTGCAACTAGGCCAGCCAGTACCCACTGGAAATAATTTGGACTTAGGCAAGTGCACCCTGCAGTTGCATTGTAACAAACACAGCTATAAAATAGACAGCACCAATATTTCATAATTGTTTATCTTGATTTAATTAGAGCTGCTTTGCAGTGGTTTTAGTTCATAAGACAAAACAACCTTGAGGTTATGGTACTTGATTTTTAAGAATTACTCACACTGTGCGGTGTATGTAGTGGCTGAGTGGTCCCTGGAGATGGAATCCAGGCTTGGGCTCTCTGTCTTCGCCTTGGTGACGTCACGGGCTGTTCTTTAGAAGCCCGAACTCTCAAGTTCAGTGCTTGAATCTAATTGGTATGAAACTTGCCCTGCTCTACACTCCTCTCTTGCTGTATGGAGATAGCTCATCTTGACATGTTTTACCCCCCTTTCACCTGACATCAGGATGTTTTTAGTCCATAGTGTGAATGTGATGTTCCTAATGACTGTATATCCTCCCTCATGTATAATTAGAATTTGTCTGCTAGAGAGGTCACAGCAAATAATTATATATCAAGTACTGAATTTAAGTCTGTTTCTCTAGACTTCACGAGAACTGAATTCCCTCCATGTACAGTCATTAAAACAGTGAGACACTGGGTAGAAAAAAAGGGTATGCAAGAAGGCAAGTGTCCAGTTAGACCAGAAATTTGTCATTTCATCATCACAGCTTTTCTAGTGTATCTGTGAGTGAAGAAGGGTTCTCAGTAGCTGCCCCTCTACCTTCAAAAGTGTTCAGCAGTGCATGCCTGTATTTTTGAGTGACAAAGGTGGTTCCAGGGTGACTGAAGTTGCATTTTTCTGTCTAAATTTATTCTGTTGTTTTTAGCTGAAATAAACCAGAGAGGGTGTGACTTAGAAAGCAGTCGGAGTGAGAACCTGCGGCAGTCACATCTCATGGCTGCTGGAAGCCTAATGGCTATGCATGGCTGACTGGTATTGGTTAAATAAAACAGAAGAACTTGAGAGGGGAAGAAAGACACTGAAATAATTTTACACCTTAAAATATTCAACAGCAAAGTCTGCACTCTGCTAGTGAGGATGGCAGGGAGCTTGGGATGCAGGTTTATACAGTCGTACAGGTCTTCTCACCAGCATTCAAACTGGACAGAATATTCAGCTGCTCTGATAGGATGGCCTCTGAAGGACAGAGAGGTTTCTATTATAAAAGTGTAATTCTTTTCCTTTTTGCATGTTGCTTGTAAAATAACATAAACTAATTTTACAATATTTTGTCTGACAAATAGTGGTGATATGAGAATATAAGTAAGAATAGAGGTAAGAATATATTCCTTAACCTGAATATTACATGTCACCTATACAATTCATCAGATCCCTGTCATATTCAGCATGGTGGGTCTTCTCTATTATTTCTATAAAACTTGGAGAACTGATCCTGGATATATTAAGATGTCAGAAAAAGAAACAAAAGAGGTATGTGAAACAAATGGAAGCGCTAACCTGGTGCAGTATGTAAGTAATTTTGGTTGATTTGTTCATCGTCACGTGCAGCTTTGTTAAACCTGAAAGCAGTGAAATACTCTGCTTTTTCTTTATGAGTTTTTAGCTCTGTCATTGAACAACATAGTAGGAGAAATTATCGATGATCTACTGCTTGTTTCCTTATTTTTATCTTCCTGCCATGAATTCCTTGCCACCATCTTCTTACTGAAATGTGAGCTTTGGCCAAACATGGTACAGACTCACGCCACTGATGGTGTCTGTGGTAGGAATTCACACAGACCTTCCCCTAATAAATACAAATTTTGTATGGTTTCCACTCCAGTTGTCTGAGGTTAGAAAGAGATTTTCACAGTGATTTCCTACAATTCTCCACGCTCCTAAGACATACCAAAGGCTAGCGTTTCTAGCTTAAGTTTTGTCAGATGCTTTGAGGATGCGTAAAATGGTTCGATTTTTGTGCTTAAGCATTGTGAAAATCACGTGCTATTTCCTAGCTCTGTCTTAGAGTGGCATGAAGATATCATGGCCAACCAATAAGTAGAGAATTTAGTATTTGATCTCCCCAGCCTGTGGATTAAGGAAGGCGTTTTGCATGTGATCTCTTTGCTCTCCATGAAGTTGTATTTCTTCAGATTGCCAGGGAGAATAAGCTGCAATTTTAACTTATTGCCACAGGACTAATAAACGTGGTCTATCTAGAACTCATAAAGGAAGAGTAGCTCTCTGAAGTCTGGCTGACTAAATGAGAGGTACCTGGTATCTTGACACTGTCTCATTGTTAAAGAGTATTTCATTCGCATTATTTATCAGTTTGGGCAACATAGAGAATGCATAATCCTGCCTGAGTGAAGTTTGTTGTGTTTCTCCTGGACCTTTTTAAATAACAAGTACTTATTCCTACTAGTGCTTGGCAGTCGAAATGCTTATGAGGTGATAAAGGCCTAATGTAGAAATCTTCATAGATCCCCTGAGGACGTGATCCAAATGCAAGCGCAAACCACTTTGTCTTTCAGAACATTGTAACTCTCGCAGAAGCAGGTTGCTTAAACTTCAGAACATTTTGCACGTCATGTCTTGTAAGTGAGGCTTTTATTTGTTTTCCTTTTTTAACTGGGCTTTCACTCAATACTGCTATAAAAAACCTTTTTTCTCATTGCTTGTCAAGCGAGTGTCACCTGCACAGATTGTTCTATATTGCTTAGATTTCTTTTTTCTTTTACGGTGACCAAAGAGATTTTTGAGACCCTTGGACTCTAAATAAAATACCATTATTATTAATTTTTACTATTTTCATCTTTTTTTGGTAAAATTAAGATGTGTAGTTCTCATCTGTGTTGGGGGGGTCTGTTGTACAGTAATTGTACAAATTACAGTGGTGCCCATGAGATGATGCTCTAAACCTTGAGCAAAATAGATGAGTTTGCTATGACTCTTTTCTTTTCCTTCATTCTCAACTAGGTAAGGAAGCCTTTGAGATCTCTGCATTGCCTTGCTTGTGATTCATGTGTAGCCAGATACGATCAGCATTCTTTGTGGATCGGACAGTGCATAGGTGAGGGTGTTTGTTTTATCGAACTTGAAAATGCCACGTATTTTAAAAGTTGAAGAAATAATACTTATCTGAGGGAGGGAGCACACGTGATACAAGAACACACAGCTGATACTGAAGGGGTTACTGAGAGATGCCAAAGGGTAGTAGTTAGCTGGAAGATAGAAAGGCAACTAAAATGATGAAAGGAATGCAGTGGTCACCCTAAGGGGCCAAAAAGCCTGGGATTCTTTCTTTTGAGAGAGGAAGGAACAAGGGATATGACTGAGGCTTGAAAAAAAAGTCCAACACAATGAAAATGGTGGTTAACATGAATGCAGAACTGTTACTTGCCAGGCATGTCATACTAGAACTAGGGGAGGCTCAGTGAGAATAGCAATTGGATTTAAAATCAGTAAGGAAAAAAATGTCTTCTTGTGGCAGGCAGTGAAATTTTGCAGCTTGCTGCTGTAAGGGTTTGCAGATACAGGCAGTATCAGAAGGTTCAGAAGACAAACTTTTGGTCAGTGTATGTAAAAGTAAATACTAAAAGAACTGGACAGGTACGCACAGTCTGACATTTCAGTGCAGTAGCTGTGGATGAGGAGATTGAACTACAGAACGCAGCCAGGCTCGTTTGTCCTGACCTAATGTTGCCTGTTGTTGCTGTTGGAGACAGTGACGTGGAGCAGGGAGCCCTGAGATAGCCGCGTAGGGCATTTTTTATGTGCTGGTGCAGTTTTAGAAACTCCCTCTTTCTTCCTCTCTGTCTCATTACTGCTGATGCTCAAGATAGGAAGGTTAGAGCTTTACATTTGTAGCAATATATTTTAGCCTATTCTTTTGCCAGTAGCTGTTTTGTAATGCTAAATACTTGGAAATGCTTTTACTGTGCTTGCTATTTACAAGCTGGTGAGCCGTCCTTCTGATGCATTGTTTCAAAGCTTTAAGCAGTGCTGATTGTGACTTAAAGACACAATTATTTTGTTATCTTCATGTAACCCTTTCTCTGACACAAGTTTGTTTTTTTTTTAACGCGCGGGTTTGCAGTTCTGAAGCACACAAAGGTCAAACAATTAAATTGAATAGCTTAGATTTTTCAGTCTTACGAGACAGTGGTAGTGTGCATGGGGAGAGTTGCAGTTGCATAATTAGTCCTCACCTAGTTAAAACAGATGAAGGCATGCTCTGAAGAAGAGACAAATCCTGGTTGACTTTATCAGAACCAATTCTATTGTATAAATTGGGAGGGCTTACAGGAGGAAGTTGATCAGAGATCAGCCTTGTCAAACTCCTTTGAGGATAGCAGAGGCAATAGTAAGATGTGGGTTTGATTCATTTTATTCCTGGTAACTTAAGGGAAAATGCAAATACAGCTGAATTTTAAAATGTCAAACCTTTCTTTCCTTGCCTCAAATGCAGGCATTGGGAACCATCGTTACTACCTATTGTTCCTGACTTTCTTAACTATGACCGGTTTCTGGCTGCTGTATGGAACTCTGCTGTGTATGTATCCATGAATTTGTCTTAACTGAGCTTTGAAGGTTGCATGTATACGGTCTTTATTGTTCAGGATTTGATTTCCAGCAAGTGTAATTATACCTGCACAAGTGACACTGTATTTCAGCCATTATGTTACCTTGTGAAAATATATCATAATCAGTCTTTGGTCAAATATCTGGTTATGTTTGTGCTGAGTAGAAGCTAAAATGCAGCTCTAGTGGGATGTCCGTTGGAGAGTATAATATCAGAAAGCATTTTTGTTAGAGGTGAAATAGGGAAGCCGTGTGGAGGAGGGTCAGGTTACAGGTTCTAGTCTGGATACCCTTTTCTGCAACAGAAAAAAGGTTTCTAAATACTTTATTGCAAAGGTTTTATTGCTTGTGTTACTGGGCAGTATCTATACTGAGCACTTGCAGAGGTTTCTTTTTGGTTTTAATGTACTTAGCCAGTGCTTTCACTGTTCCTACTGTGAATTAGGAACATACGAAGTAAAGATTATACAGCCAGAATAGCAAGCAGTCACGTATCCATGTAGGTGCTTTTAAGTGGGAACACGATGTATTAAATGTGGTATTTCTGGAGCATATTGCTATGTAATACTCATTCTGTGCACATAATCTTTGTTTGGTTCGTAAGTGGCCTACATGAAAAATATAATTAACTGATATGTATCTTGTCAGATTGGTCCAACCATTGCACAACGAGTTATCACCAAGATGGAGCATGGACGTACTTCACACAGATAGTACATTGTTCTCCCTGGGTTTCCTACATCTTCGCAGTAGCCTGTTTTCATACTGTATGGGCTTCATGGTGGCTAACTGTTCAGCTTTATCAGGTATTATTTTGCTTCAGCTCATGCTCCTCTCTTATTAAAACTTTTCCTTAGATGATTTGCTCCCGTAAAAACTCTGTGCCTCCTTTCCTTGACTAACTAACATCACATCTAGTTCCTTTTCTTAAATCTCAGGGCAGTCCTTGAAGTTTCACGGGTACTCGTGAACTCAGCACAAGTTTAAATGTGTGCTGCTAGGTTTTTGTCATGTCCAAGACATTGAGATACCATCTTGGGGAAAAAAGGGATCTAGGTATGAGAGATAACTACGTTGTTTTGTACACAGTCTTTTGTAAATGTACTGCTTTATGATATCTAGCATGTCCTTCAGCAAATGACAGTACTCCTGCACTCAGCACAGGTAGGATCCCAGTCTGCAAATCACTCCTGTAACTGGATTTACCACTCATCAAAAATTCCAAACCTATAAAAAGATATATTTAAAGGCAAGGAACTTACTGGACTTTTTTCCACCCCCAAAAAAGGCACAAAAGCTCAATAGCACAATTACTCCTGAACTGAAAATTCTGTCAGAGCTCAGCGGTGCGTCATTAGGCCGTACTAAATCCCACTGCTGCAATCAAAATATGTGACCTGGATTTTATCCTGATGAGGACGGTCAGATTTCTTGTCTGTGTTTTTTCTCAGAGGGTGCTTGTCTGTACAAATGAGATTGAGAAGAGCTGCCTTAAAACATCCAGGAAGCAGCCTGTTTAGCAGCGTGCAGGAAAGATGTGTCATTTGAGTGTGTGTTAAGCATACCTAGCTGAATCATGGTTTGCATCTTGTTTAAAATTTAAAAAGAAAAAACCCACAATTTTAAATGTGTGATGCTAGATTTTTGTCATGTCTGAGACACTGAGATACCATCTTGGGTCAAAAAAGGATCTAGGTATGATATTTATGGTTAACTGCTTTGTTTTATACACAATAATTTGTAAATGTACTGCTTTATGGTATCTAGCATGTCATTCAGCAAAGCAACCGTGGAGCCATTTATAAGGACTTATCAGATTTATGTTGATTAAAAAAACCTAAAAAAAAGAAAGAAAAAGGAATAAGTAAGCAAAAATGCAGAAAAAATTAAAATCTCATTGTGAAACTTGCTGAAAGAGGACATGGAATCAAGCAAATGAAGAAGTTACTGTTGAGACTCTGACATCATCTTTTTTCTAAACTACTCTGTCTTTTTAGGGGAGATCTTTTCTACCAATTTATGTGGTAGAATGCAGACAAAAATCTGAGGAGATAGTGCTTAACTGCCTCAGATCTTAAATTATACAGACAGCTGCAAAGTTACAGTCAGCCTGATGAAGCTTGCCTTCTCAGTGGAAGGATACACGTCGTAGCTAGCTGTGTTCTGTTTTAGTCCAAGTGACATTTAAAAACATACTTTTCAGTCATTAATTATGGCAGAGTTAGTTACTTGTTAGATATTGCCAACCTCTTCCCCTCCCTTCCTCCCTCTCTTCTCAATAGTACCTTTTGAGATCACCAGATTTTAGATTTGTGACATTCATGTTTTAACCATTACATACGTTTTCCCTTCTGTAAGATTGCATTCTTGGGATTGACCTCGCATGAGAGGATGAACCTCCTGATACAGAGAAACTCTTCTAAGCATCCCGTTTCACTCAGGAGAACTCCGTACAAGTGGGTGTTAATGAACAGTGTGTTTAAGCATGTGTCTTTTCGTTACGGATCTGCTTCACTACTTCATAAATGCAAAAAAATGGTCGACTACGGATGTGTTAGTCATGCCTGTTATGAGTTGTGCTAAAAGAAGGAAGTGGACCTCATTTTCCTTGCTGAAAACTTTCTTTGCCCTATGAAATAAACAGCATAAGAGCTACTGTGTTTTTCTGCATGGCTGTGTGTGTAGGAAAAAGGTGTGCCAGAATCAGTCCATGGCTGTAATCAGTAGGTGCTATTTGGGGGATGGGGGGTTATGTCCTTTAATTTGTTCATAGAATCACAGGATGGTTGGGGTTGGAAGGGACCTCAAAGCCCATCCAGTTCCAACCCCCCTGCCATGGGCAGGGACACCTTCCACTAGACCAGGTTGCTCCAAGCCTCATCCAGCCTGGCCTTGGACACTTCCAGGGATGGGGCATCCACAGCTTCTCTGGGCAACCTGTCCCAGTGCCTCCCCACCCTCACTGGGAAGAACTTCTTCCTGTTGTATAGGTTTGGAAAGAGAATTAGGGTATGAACTGGCCCCTTTCTCACTTCTCTTGTAGTATTTAGCTCAATAGAGAAATTAAAACCAAGGATTCCCTGTTATACTAGAAAACCATGTTTCCTCATGTGTGTTAACAGGTGAGATCTTACTAACTTTTAAGTATTTGGGTTGAACTACTCTTGCTGTTAAATGTAATACAGGGTGTAAAAGTTAAACAAAGGAAGAATGCTTGATTAGAGAACTGTTCTTAGTTTATTCTCCCAGAGCTGTCTTCTTGACAGCTTGCCATCTGAAGTCCTGTCTCATGGTGAATGTGTATTTCTGATGCCTGCAGTCGTCTTTTGCTCATTTTATTGATGGATATTTCTCTCATTTTCAGTCTTGGATGCTTCCAGAATCTTGCAGACTTTTTTCAGTGCCGTTGCTTTGGTATGTTCAAACCCAACGTGATTGACTGGACCAAGCAATACAACCTTTTTCATCTGGCAAAGGAGAAAAATGTGCATTCTGTATGAAGTTTTGCTTAATTTCTAAAACCGTCGAGCTGAAAGCTAAATAAAACCGGGTATTTTGTTAATTTTTACAAATCCTTGTGAAGTTGTTTTTTTAAATTTGTATCGCTTGTGCTGGATTCAGCCAGGAA